GAAGCTCTGTTAACTCTACTTTTTTGACTAGCTTACCTCCACCACTTTAAAACGGCTAGCTGATGACCTGAAGTTATGACATTTTGCCTCTCAAAACGTTTGAAGAAGCTAATAAATTGAGGTGTGAGACCGACTGAACGTGATTTGAATTCTGAAACATGAGCTCCCCAATTTGTTATTATTACGGAATTGAGATTCGAACATCGGGCTAAAAATTCGCTCTACTGGTTCGGACGGCTTATTAAGCACTAATTCAAACGACTTGCGCAATTCACCGCTAATCTTAAATCCCACATTTGAGAACTAGTGAGAGTCACCCATTTTTTGACTACCCTTACAACGAAAGCACTTTAGGACCATGATGACAAAGCCCCTTGATGGCTGTATGAGCACGTCCCCAAGTGGCCGATATTTCAAAACATGCGCCCATGAATCAGACAAAAACACGCTGATTAAAATAGATACAATGAATCATCTTCCCCCCAAGGCAAAATGAAGCTATTTTGGCCTGTTCAACAGTAGTTGACGTATTCAATGCAGAGACCACTTGTGATTAGGCTTTAATGATGTCTAGAAAGAGGCAAATTAAATATTAGGGATCATTCACCTCATTCCAGTTGCACTGAATAACAAATTATGTCCAATGTTAGACTACTATTCGTTATAACTGAATTCCTTAAGATTGTTGACAGTTGGACTTGCAAAAAAAGTTTAAACATTAAAGATGAGTGAACAAACTATGGGGTACATTCAAGTGTATTACACGGTTTAAACAACCAAACTAGGCTCTGGACACACTCACACATTTAAAAATTGGTCTGTCAAGAAAGGATAACAACTTAGAGGTCAAAAATAATGAATTTCTATGGCTATGAATAGGAGCGTGGAAGACACCTTTCAATGTAGATAAATAATTTTAAATTAGTTTCAAGCTTAATTTTTAATTTCATAGATACTGTTGAAGCTTGGTGATAAGATGATGAACCAGTAATACGCTGTGCATCAGAAGCGCAACATCTATTCTATCGATAATATTATTCTGGTCCGGTTAGTAGATTAGTCTTTTCTCCTTAAAAACGTCACTCTGTCATCTGAGCAATTGCAGCATATTGTATAACAGGGAATTTGACCGTACGCTACAAAGACTGTATATATTTGCTGGAAATTAGATATGCCAATTCCTATTTGAAGACAAAGTTAATGTCCCTTTAATAGGTCAGTTTGATGACGTCAGAAGAACTTCTTCATAAATTGTACATGGAGCCTTTAAAATACTGCTGAAATATCCTCTCATCAAATCTAAGCCCATAGGAAAACCTGATTCGCTCTCATTTCGGTGATGCTTAATACAAGAGAAATTTCACTATAGTCAGTAGAATAATAGTAGAAATTCTGAGGAGGAAATAAATACCATCGATAATTCAAAATAACTAATACTTCAATTTTCTGTTGCAGTAGAAATAGGCGAGCAGTTAAATCAGAATTAACATCAGCACTAAGTTAGTTAAACCTTTATTCCAACTGTATTACACTTTATCGATGATCGATACAAAGATAGCAATCTAATGGCTTAAACAGTAGTAATCGTGTGTGCTTAGGTGAATTTTGCAAATGGCCATCGATTGAGCTCGCTAATTAATTGTCAAGACGTTCTGACTCATAGAAGTCTAAAACGTGTATTTGGCAAGGGCATATTGTGCCTAAGGAAGATATTTGTGACTTCTAGGGCCTTACAAGAGGGAAGTGAATGATGCGAGATTAAAATGTCTTCAAGAAGAAATTGATCAATATTTAATGTAATTTCGCACACAAACATTCCAGATTCAAGGCTTTTCTTCTAGATAAAATTGAATGCAACTGCTTCTTCAAAGAGGTCCATTGTACCTTGATATTGGACTTAAAGGCTGCAGAAGAAAACTGCGCTAGGTGGCTAGTAACATGGTAGCTACCGCAACTTATAAACATGTCAATAAGTTCAGATCATCAACCGTGAATTCATCCGGCAAACTGAGCCAAATTTTGAATTGGAAACAACAGGAAATGGAGAAATGTCGACCCTCAATCTTGAAGACTCTTTCAAAGTCTTCGCGTTAGTTTCCACTTCCATCTAATTCCTCTTTATCACCTAATATTGAACTCTTTATTCAAGGTGAAGCAACATAGTTGACCGTTCCATTAGTGATAATAAAACACTTAGAAAAGACAAAATAACCTGAAAAGATATCACTAAATTGGGCAGGCTTTAATTCATATAACTCTGCCTCATATTCATTATGCGGCCCATAACCGAATGACTGACAACCTTCAGGGAGATTAAAAATGAGCAAAATTACTTCAATGAAATGGGGTGTGCGATAGACTTACCTCCACGTGGTGCACCCTGGGCAACGTATACTCATACGGCAAAAAAGTCTATTAACCGGCAGTTGACTTCAGACTCCAAACTACCATCACCCCACTGTATGTCAAATTCGACTACTTCAACCGTACTCACCTCACCTTTTTTCCAACTTTGTGTCTGTCTCTTTTACATCTTTGAAACACTCTTCTGTCCCCCNGGGCTTCACAGAAAGGAGGAGGAACATCAAAGTGACTCAAATTCAAAATGGGAAGGGAGGAGCAGAAGAGTGTTTCAAATATGTAAAACAGACAGACACAAACGTAGAAAAAAGGTGATGTGAGTACTGTGAATGTAGTCGAATATTACATACAGTGGGGTGATGGCAGTTTGAAGTGAGAAGTCAACTGGCGGTTAATAGACTTTTTTGCCGTATGAGAATACGTTGCCCCAGGTTAATAGACTTTTTTGCCGTATGAGTATACGTTGCCCATAGTGCACCACGTGGAGGTAAGTCTATCGCACACCCATCTCACTAGTTAATAGACTTTTTTGCCGTATGAGTATACGTTGCCCAGCGGTTTATAGACTTTTTGCCGTATGAGGTCACGTTTCCAAGCCATTTAATAGACTTTTTTGCCGTATGAGTATACATTGCCCAGGATGCACCACGTGGAGGTAAGTCTATCGTACGTTGTCCAGGGTGCACCACGTGGAGGTAAGTCTATCGTATTCTTAAGAATAATTGTTTAGAAAACCAGCAAGGGTTGAAAGTTGCCCAGGGTGCACCACGTGGAGGTAAGTCTATCGCACGCTGTCCAGGGTGCACCACGTGGAGGTAAGTCTATCGCACACACCCCTCCGCTTCCAAATAAGATGTTGATAGTGAAGGCATATTTAGGCACTTGTTTAATTACATCTTTTTCACTTATTTTTAAAAATGCTCAGTTTGGAAGAAAATATGCAGATTGTACTAGCAAAATGACTGACATGATATTTTGAAAGAACGCAGGTACCAACTTGTCAACTATATATCTCATCAGTGAAGTATCATTTTGAGGTGAAATTCATGATTCCAACAAGAAAATAAAACCAGACAAGTTTTGTAAGCTGAAAAGTAATTAGTGGAGATCATGTTGTTTAATATGGTTAAGTGAAAATTTAATCTTCAAGTTCATAGTTTTGGAATTATTCCTCTGACAGTTAGACTTCGTTTTAGCAATTTCTAGTGTGGTTAGCTTGAAGATACTGGTTAAAATCCCGACCAACTCAAGTGTGTAATAAAGAGTTCAGATATTTCTGCTCATGGGGTATGCGATAGACATACCTCCACGTGGTGCACCCTGGGCAACGTATACTCATACGCAAAACAAATCTATTAACAGGCAGTTGACTTCTTACTTCAAACTACCATCACCCCACTGTATGTCATATTCCACCACTTTCACAGTTCTCACCTTACCTTTTTTCTACCTTTGTGTCTGTCTTTTTTACATCTTTGAACCACTCTTCTGTTCCTCATCCCTCGACTTTCTGCTACTTTGATGTTCTTTCCCATTTGTGAAGCCTGAAGTCAACTAAAGGGCTAATGAAACTATCAAAACGCCTGCCATTTGATATAAATAAAAAACTTCAATGAAATAATAGCGTTGTAATAACCGCCTTATTTATGGATTATTTCCCAACGGGTGCCACATATAAGCTAATTTATGGACGTAAAGGAAGCATGCAGAGAAGGGACCTTAAATAAACTGATTACAATGGGAACGGGGTCGAAATTTTAAAAACCTGGTATGAATTACGTGAGCATACAACCCACAAACTCCATGTTACTGACTGCTAAAAACATTTTGCATTCTTTTGTAGAAATCAATAATATTTGATCTTGAGAGTGAGTTATATTATAACTGTTGATTGTTAACTTAGTTAAATTATGCAGATGGGTCGATGGAATAGAAATATATCCATAGGTTAGACTTGAGGATCGTGTGAATCGTCACAATTGGGAGATTCAAGAATCTTCATGAAGTAGTTTCTCTTCAGTATTATCATGGCAATGGGGAAAACAAAGTTTAATTTCTGTAAAAATTGGTAGATACTCTTTGCCAAAACCCCTAACCCAACAATTCATTAGCAATCATTCAGTTCCACACATTTATTGATTTCCAGTGGATTGATTTTGGTTACTTGGCAAATATCTTGAAAATTAGATATGTAAACTAAACAATATCCTTATTTGCTCTTTAATCTGGGGCATTAGGTTCAAAATGGAAAGGTAAAAATCGATCACATTTACATTTTATTTTACAGGTACCACTTTACTGCAGGGATCCACAGAGGCGATTTATCTTACAAAGAAAGCACATCGGGATTTACAATTATGATTAGAATTTCTCAGATTGGATCAAGAGATCAGTTGATCCGAAAAGAAATCATCAGTAATCAGATTATAATCAGACAAATGTGCATGCATAGGATAGAAAAAGTCAAAGACGGTGACGATACTGTGAAAGATTGGGGGTAATTTAAATACATACATGCATGAACATACATCGCCCTAAATGAAATGAAAGGGAAACGAGAAATGAAGACAGAGTAAAATGGTATAAAATTATAGAGACCACAGAAGGGGTAAAAAAGTAAGTGTAGATATGAAAGCGCTCTAGTGAGGTTGAGATATACTGTGGAATCTTAAGAGATTACTGCATACGAAACATTGACAGGAAGGTGGACATTCAACAAGAGGATAATTAGGGACCAAGTACTTCAAAGACCCGAGTAGATATTCCGTTGGAACGTCATAACCAGTCCTAGAACGCACGAAAAAGGTAGAGTTTAATCAGCATGCATCAAAGTGGAAAGGTCCATGTTTACTTTAGCTACCAGCGACCTCGTGAAAAACTGCACAAGAATATCAATTATTTTGAGTGAGATTGAAGGTAAAAAGGAATAAGCTTTAAGTGGAATGACCGTCCCGTCGCCTAATAAGAAAGTGAAATTCAAATCACATTTCAGTAAAGAACTCAGGGCTTTAGATGAACCGATTTCTAAACAATTTTTCTCATCAAACAAAAAGTGAGAAACGTATCTAAAGAGGCAGCCAAACAAAGGCCTATGTTTATGTCTACCTTAGCAAGGTAAAAATATCCATAGCTTAAAATGTGGTTATTGAGGGTATTGACACACCATCTTCATTTTGGAAAAGAAAGTTGGGGTAACTTACAATGATCTATGTCGACTGAAGACACTCCACCGTAGAGTATGCTTGCAAGTTGACACTGGCCTTTTAGTTACAGTTGGAGCACGTTTGAGTTCAACTGGAAATTTGAGAGTCCTTTCTAGGGAACGCACAGTTGCTTTTTGCTTTTGCACTATTTCCCTATATTTCACAGTCTCAGCTAACTGCCAAAAAGCTTGCTTGTGGTATTTAAGGGCCAAGGGAATAATCTCACTTTCAGAGTAGGTAGTAATAGTCTCCAATAAAGGGGACCACAGGGGCTTCAAGTCTCCTTCCAATTCAAGTAGATTTTTCATACTGTTGATGAGTTCCAGCTGATCGGGTGGTAAGGTATTCTCTAATTCTTTAGAGCTGAAAAAAGAGATGAACCAATTACAAGGATTAGAAAATAAGTGTGACAAAGAAGTGAGTAACCAAACAAAATTACTTTGAAGCTATCAAGGGGTCGTAGAAATCCGGGTTCGAATCAATGAGATCAAGCACCGAGGAGATTTCGGGTTGAGCTCGCCAAATTCTATAAGTAGGGTTATTGAGAACACATCGGCCTAGCCAAAGCACAGCTGCGGCCTTTTTAGAAGCTTGTGAAAGGCTAAGTTCATGATTATGCATTCCCACATCAAGGAGAAAGCTACACATCTTTTTCATCATCGCATTCTGCGAATCTAACACCTAAAAAAAACGAAAACATGAATAGATAAAGCAATAATTAATTAACATACTATGAGCGAAGCAAACCTCAAGAAACTCATCGAGAAAGACAACATCACTGGGCCAGAGGAAGTTAAACTTAATAGTTGACAAAAAAGCCTTTTCTTCGGCCACATATGTGTAGAAGTTTAATTCACCAAATAACTTGCTGTTATCATGCTCGAAGTCAATAATTTGCGGATCTACATCGGCTAATTTGATAGCTGTTTGAACGGCGATCTTCGCACTATTGGAAAGCCAATTTCTAGATAAGAATCAAATAAGTTAAATTAAGTAAAACAGTAAAAGAAATAGACAGAGTATCAAAATTTAAATATTACATGGGAACTTGGGATGCAGCTTCCCGCTCGTTGTAGGCAATGTCGAATTTCCTCTCCGACTTCATCGCTTCCAAGTAGCAGAGGAAGATATCCCAAGCCAAATGAATGACATATTGAGTAAGAGGAAACAACTCAGATAAACCGATCATCCAATCAGCAATTGTGCAGAGCATATCTCTTGTTTGTGTGTCCACGTGCTTATTAACTAAAAAATCAGATCGACGATAATGATCCTAGAATGAAAAACAATCAATTAACTTAAGTGAATGAAATGAAACAAACTACACACTTTGATCCAGATAACTTACACGCTTTTCGCGAATCATTTCATTTCCAAGATAACGAAGAAAGTGCGTGAGTTTATATGGCTCTTTATCTTCATCGAATTTCATTGTTCGACGAATGCGGAAAAAAACATCTTCCAGATTTCGATTAATTGAAAATAATCTCATTACGTTATCTTTAGCCAACTAATTTAGAAAAAAGAAAAGCAATGGTACAGAATATATATAAGTAAAAAGCGATGAAAAAGATTCCAATATTAAACCTCTGGTTTTGCGTTCGGTTTTTTAATGGTTGCTTTTGAACCAGAAGTGGAAGAACTGCTCGGGACATTATTAAGATCCCAATGTGCTAGTTCCGAACGTCGCCTTGGAGTATTATCAGATGAAGGAGAACTAGGCGCCCTGTTTTCACCATGCTCGATGGCAAGTTTCCCGAATTTCAAAGACAAGCTCTGTCGAGCACTGCGGAGAATTAATTTACGGCGAGTAGACACTAAAAATTAACGAAAGTTAAATCCAATTTCATATAGAGCATAAATATTAATTTTAATGTTTTACCATTATAAGAAATGACATTTTTGCCACCACGAAGTCCTTTGTTTACCTATATAGAGTTATTGCAACAAGTTCTACATCACCTTAAGGAAAAGACCAGGACTTTTAACACCCTTTGATCTGTTAAACACATAATTTGCATTCTCCTTATTTTCGTTTGAGTACATTGCGAGCTTATCTACTTTAAAGCTGCTAAAGATGCTATAAGTTGTAGATAAATTTGCACTCGATATCTACGAACAGCTGCGAGACTATTTCGACCAACATAAATTTGTCCAAGGTCACGGGGCTAAACTATTAGTGATTTATTAAATGAAATGAACTATTTCGAATATCTTTGCAAAACAGTGACTTTATAAGTACCATCATAAACAAGATTAGAAAATTACTCACAAACAAATACAAGTGTAAACTTTAGCTGTCAGCAGTTGACATTAACTTGAAATATGTAACAGAACGCATAAATGTTTTAGTGTCAAGTGTCCAGCCCTAAAGACAAGGACGGAAAGCCAAAAATACTGGGAAGCAAGAAGACAGCTAATGAATTGCTATTGATTAACTGCTATAAATGTACCCACCCCCCTCATGGGGGAAGCTGAAGTCAAAGATTAAGGGCTAATGATAAATATCATAAAGCCTGCCATTTGAAATAAATAAATGTTTTAGTGTTAAAATTGATAACTCCCTACAGTCAAAATTCCCAGAATTCAAAAACGTATAAATCTTAAATGAAAAACCCATAAGATTTGGAACTTAATTTATAGCATGCTTTCGATCTTCAAGCTATCCAAGAGAGTTCCTTTGAGAATTAACTATGCGGCGCTATCATAGAACCGTATATTTTAGCAAAAAATGGTACAATTTCACGTAAAAAATATCGTTATATACTGAAATGTATAGTCTTCAAATTTAGAAAACTGTATAACTAATCATCCAGAATTGCTCTTAATCCAATTAATTCACAGATAATTAAAATTTATTCCATGTCAATGAGAGTTAATTTGCCAGACCAAAATGGTAAATTACCAAATAAGATAATAGATTATTCAAAAGATTTAATTATATACGTAATTGGGCAAAATCTTACCTATTTAATGAGCAACAAAATAGGAGGAATAAGACCTTAAAATTTATACTTTAATGAATATCTACACATTTACTTTAATTCTTATGAAAATTTAGAGCACTTGCCAATGTTCTCCTCCTTGAGTGTGACCATTAATCATGTGAACTAAAAATCGAAGTGAACTCGATAAGAAGTATATTAATTAATATAATTCGATTTAAATAGGCTAACTTTTCAACTGATTAATAGAACTATTGGTTTAAATATATCATGTTTCATATGACAGAAAGCTGATCAATTTTTAATAACTTTTGTCATGCATCTATGACTGCTTAAAAAGTTAATGTTTTATTTTGACAGTTGTGCATTCAAAATTTATTAAGAGACCATTAAACTTCAAAATGTTTGAAAAAGTGTTGTTCAGAATAATTGTCGCCTTGGATTTCAAAATGGGATTTAACTGTTCTGATTACAATGTCAAAATCTCAAGCCCCTATAAGTAGCATAAGTAAAAGCATCTATTTATTTAACACTTTAGATTCATTGTTAATCAATGCTAAGGTAATGATGAAATTTGAAGAATAAATACACAATGAGACGGCAACTAAAGCACCTCATAAAAGCTTGAGCAATTCACGCCTATCGAATAGTCAGTATTCCTGTTATAAATAGTTAGAATGAACTAAATTGCTATCATTGTATTCTAGTTTAAAACGCGACATGCAAAAAAGACTTGATATTTATCAGCATGAATTTCATATACGATAGAAGTAAAATATTTTATTTCGATTTTGAGCCGGTTATAGAAAAAGCCATTTTTCAGATGCATGCAAGCATTATACAAATGCAAACTTTTTAAGTATACCCATTGGGGACGTCGATGGATGAATAGGCAAATTTTCCCAGTTTCCTGTCGGCAGCTAACTAGTCCATCTCTTTGAACAATAATATGTGGACCTTTACTTTTAGGAGCCTATATGGTTGAAAATATATTTAACGGCCTTTTCATTATGCATATTATACAAGAAATCCCTTTTTAAGTGAAAAACCAACACTTTAGCGCGGAAATAAACCGTTTGTAGTTAGTAATGCTAATCATTGAAATGTATTAATTAATTTTTAAGGAAATTATCCGAAATTGAGACACAAATAAAGTATACCATCTGCGCAATTTATGGCCATCATATAAAAACAATTTCTGAACAGATTGATCTTGATGTGGACCATTTATTGAGCGTTGTAACCTCGAAATTATCTCAAACAATATTGTGTTCAAAAGATTACAGCTACAATTTATTAAGGTAAGTAAAACCAATATTTATTTATTTATTTCAAATGGCAGGCTTTATGATATTTATCATTAGCCCTTAAACTTTGACTTCAGCTTCCCCCAAGAAGGGGGGGGGGGGTACATTTATAGCAGTTAATTAATAGCAATTCATTAGCTGTCTTCTTGCTTCCCAGTATCTTTGGCTTTCCGTCCTTGTCTTTAGGGCTGGACACCGAATCAGGTGGGTCTTCTCCATTTCCTCCTGTAAGTTACATAGAGGGCATGTGGGTTGAGTGTATACTCCCAATCTGCGAAGGTGTTTTGCCAAGCATTCGTGTCCGGTACGTAGTCTAAACTCAGCAACGGCTTCGATTCTTGGCCAGTCGGATATGTCGGAGAGTGCCATTGTCCACTGTTTCTCCTTTGTTTGAGCTTTAAGTTCGTTGCACCTTGAGGTCTGGAATTTTCTCCTGATTAAGGCCTTCATTGTGTGGCAAAAAATCGGCCGGTCCATGCATTGCAAAATCGTTATCCCCTTCTTAGCAAGTGCGTCAACTACATCAATGCCTGCTAATGGGTTCATGGGGGGAGAGAGGCTTTTTGGTTTGTCATCAATTTGTAATGCTTTCTTCAGTTCTATGGCTTTCTGTATTGGACCAGATTGCGTTTTCAGGTATCTTGGTCTATCCTCATAGGTGCTGAAGAACTTATCCATGGGAATGCGCAGTAGCTTCTCGTACAGGATCAAGGCCTTTTCTTTGATAAGGGAACATATTGTGGTGCTTCCTGTAACTAGGAGCATTGCATCAATGGGTGTTGATTTTATCCCTCCAGTAATTAGTCGAAATGCTTGGTTGTGTGCCTTCT